GCCTTCTTTTGCTTGTTTGTTTTTGAAGCAGGGTCACACTATGGAGCCCAGGCTGGCCTCCAACCCGCTGTGATCCTCCTGCCTCAGCCTCCCGGGTGCTGGCATCATAGGTCTGCACCACCACGCCCGGCTTCCATTGCCTTTCAATTAAGAAAGCCTCTGCAAAGACCCTGCTGAAGTTTTGGATCTCAAATGGCCCCCAAGGCCTCTGTATTGAAGGCCTGGTCTCCAGGCTGGGGCTCCACTTGGGAGAGGTGGAACCTTCAAGAGAAGGGGTCTGGGAGAAAGATGAATCACGGAGTGCTATGGGAGCGAATGGTGGCCCCAACTGCTCCCCAGCCTCCATGAGGTGAGGAGTTTGCTCTGCCACATGCTCCCACCATGATTAACTGTGCTGCCACAGGCCCAAAGCACCAGGCCCAAGCAACCATGGACTGAGATCTCTCAAACTGTGAGCCAAAACAAAGCTTTCTTCCTCCTAAGTTCCTATCTTAGGCATTCTGTCACAGTGATGGAAAGATGACTCACACAGACCCCAAATCATCGCCCTTCCGGGTCAGGCTGAAATATCACCTCCTCTGGGAAGCTTTCCTGACCTTTCACATCGGAATTAGCTCCTCCCACTGATGTATTCCAGGATTTGCACTCACACCTCTCTAAGACAGGAGAACACCACTGGGTACAGCACTTTCACAGCAGAGCAGTCCAGGACAAGAAGGCACAACTTCTAGAAGATTGCACCTGAGGGAAAGAGATCCCAGTCCAGCCTGCCTGGGCAGCAGGACCAACCCAGGGGACCCCAGTGGTGCCTGACCCTTCATCCAGACTCTCCCTCACAAGGCTGGGAGCATCATTTGTATCATGGTATCTTGCCAGTGCCTTGGCATTGAGCAACCAATGCATGCTTGCTGAATGGGGAGTTTAGTGGATTACTTTCTCTGGGGTTAAAAGTTTAAATTTTTAATGAAAGTACAGGCCTGGGGATTTAGCTCAGTGGTGCTGTCGCCTGCCTCACAAGCACAAGGTCCTGAGTTCGATCCCTGGTACCAAAAAAAAGTACCTAATAACAGGAAGTTAGACATTAGCCATGATAGGGAATGTTTCATCTAATCAAAAGATGGATTTTTTAAACATAGGTGATTACAATTCACAGAAACTACAGCCCTCATTATTTAGGACATGAGCTCATCCTTCACTCTTTCTAAATATACTACAAATCTGCTAACCAGTAGAAAAAGAAATGTCTGTATTTAGCTTCCTGTTTCACATACGTAGAGGTTCCTGTGGAGGTGCCATTGAACCCTAAATCACCCTCATCAGAGCTCACCACACCCAGTCCTGCCATGTCCCCCTAAAACCCCGGGCCAGGATGGCAGAAGGATAAGGGGCCAGGGAGACACAGGGCATCTGCACTACAGGAAACTGTGTTTACACTTTTAATCAGAGGAATGTACCACCACCCACCTGCCGACTCAGTTCATCCTCATACCAACTGTGTGAAATAAAAGAAGAAAAGGAGTATTATTCTCTTTTCCAGATATAAAACTAGAATTGCACAGATCCTAAGAACTGTGTGTTTACCCTATACTTGAACCCCTGTCTTGCAAACATTGTATAGGTTTGCTGGCATAAAATGACTCCTCCCAAAAGTTCAAATATTTGTTTTAGTTATAAATATTTGTTTTGTTTGAAAAACATATCTAAAGCATTGATTTTAATAATTGAAACAGAGCAACAGTGTGTCTTTAAATTCTCTTTATAAAAAAGATGTAGAGGGCTGGGGATTTAGCTCAGTGGTCCCGGTGCCTGCCTCGAAAGCGCAAGGTCCCAAGTTCAATCCTTGATACCAAAAAGTAAAAAATAAAAAAAGATGTTGGGGCCGGGGATTTAGCTCAGTGGTTCCGCTGCCTGCCTCGCAAGTGCAAGGTCCCGACTTTGATTCCTGGTACCAAAAAAAAAAAAAAAAGATGTAAGACACACAAAGAAGGAAATCCAATTCTTATAGAAAACAATTTGCATGAGCTGTCTGGCAGGAACTGGTTCAAGTCGTTCCAGGAGTTGTGTTGTTGTCCAGATCCACACATCTGGACCTTGACTCGTTGGCACACGTGGAGTTAAGGGAGGGGATGCTTCTCACAGGACTGCTCCATGAACAGCTACTTGTAATGACTGGATTTAGAAAATAGGTGAGGCAAATTAGAGAACGACGATTCACTTTAAAAGGGTTTTCTATGGGCTTCCTTTACACGAGGGTTCCCATAATGTATTTAAAGCATGATTCCATTTATAGAAATTCTATTTCAATCTAACCTATGAAGAAAGCATAGAATAAGGGAGAAAAAGAATTCAATTTAGATTCAGTTGTGGTGGGTTCTCTGAAGAGATAGCAATGCCTTAAGCAAAAGAGTGAAACGACAGTCTATTACTAGAGCTAAAACTATTTTAAATATGCAAACATCTGCAAACCCAGCATGAAGCGAGTGCTGCGTGCCAAACGCCTCCGAGGGTTTCTGTACTGGGAGCTCAACCTCCACCCCACCTGTTGGGAAACGGAGGGCCTTGCAGGAGAGGACGGCAATTAGGTCCCTGGGGCGGTACTCTCGGAGGAGATGAAGCAGTTCTCAGGAGAGCGAGCTGTCACAGAAAAAGCAGGCCTGGCCCTCACTCATGGCTTTGTCTCTCCACGTGAATCTCCCTCTTGCGAGTGTTCCTGCCCTGTGTCACCCTATGATGTAGTGGAGCGACAGCGCCTTCCACAGGGCTCAATCCACCAAGCTGCCCTACCCTGGACGTTCAGTCTCCAAAACTGTTTGCCAAAAAAGTTTCTTGTTTCATATGTTACCCAACCTCGGGAAGTTTGTTGTAGCAATGGAAATAGACTAATACAAACCCCAAGGTGGGAGAAACAAAGAAATACATTCAAAGGTTTCAAACCAATGCCAAGTAAAATAGTGATTTACATGCCCAGTAAATGGAGGAAGAATGCCGATTCTTATACAATCGCCGCCAACAGTGCCACCAATTAATTTCCTCACTCGAGTCACCCCCACTTCTCAACATTTAGTCACACTCAGCTCTTTCTGCAGTTTCCAAACCTTCAGCACAACTAGATTCCAAACAAAGCTACAAAAGAAAGGTATTGTTGGAAACTGTAAGACTAAGACCCAGGACTAAGGAACAGAATGCTTCCAAATTTCGTGATTTGTACACCATTATCTTTGTCATAGGATATGATGAGGATACAAAGTTACAGAAATATTGGGCCGGGGATTTAACTCAGTGGTTTCGCCACCTTGTGCGCAAGCACAAGGACCCAAGTTTGATCCCCGCTACCAAACGAACAAACAAAAAGACAAAGTTACAGAAATATTAAGCAATCTAAAAACTTTTTGGCCAGGTGTGGTGGCACATACCTGTAGTCCCAGAACTTGGGCGGTTGGGCCAGGAGAATTGCTGTGAGTTTGCGACCAGCCTGGGCTACATAGTGAGTTCAAGACCAGCCTGCACTGCATAGCAAGACTGTCTCAAAACAAAAAATAAAGAGGGCTGAGGATTTACCTCAGTGGTGCTGCTGCCTGCCCCACAAGCACAAGGGCCTGAGTTCAATCCCCGGTACAAAAAAAAAAGAAATAAAATTTTTTATTCTGAAATGATTATAAAATAACACAGGGACTCTTACTTGCTCTGCACCCAAGTTCACCAATTGTTTATATTTACTTTATTAATCTTCTCTATTTGAACTATTTGAGAGTACATCGAGGAATCTGTCCCTTTTACCCTTAAATATGTCAATGCGTATTTTCTAAGAATTTACAAGACCACAACACAATTATCCAAATCAGGAACTTTGATATGACTAATATTGTTATCTAAAGGTGTACAGTCAAAATTTTGCCAACAGTCATACTGTTCTTCACAGCTATTTTCCCCCAACCCAGGATCCAATCCAAGATCGCCCATGGATTTAATCAACATGCCTCTTTAGCCTCTTTCAATCTGGCACAAGTCTTTAGTCTTCATCTTTCCTGATATTAATGCTCTTAAAGACTAGGCCAGAAGCTAGATTTGTCTTCCTCAAATGCAGATTATGAATTTTTGTGCAGGAATACTACTCTATGCTGTGTCCTTCTCAGGGCATACTGTACATGAAAGGCTCATGATACTAGTTTCTCCTGTAACTTGCAGTGTTAGTCTTCACCACATTTCTGTGTTGCATACTTTTCTCATCTTTGTAATTAATGTATGCTGTGTGGAGAGTTGCCTGATACCGTGAAGTATGCTCCCCACCACGTTTACCTTCCGGCTTAGCATCTTTCGATGATTCTTGCCTAAATCATCTTATTGGAATATATACGTCATATATAGTAAGATTTGTTGTTTTAATTATACAATGCATTGTTTTTAGCATATTTACAGACATCTTGACTAATTCCATTTTCATCACCCCAAAAAGCAACCTTGCGTCCATTAGCAACCCCTCCCCTTCCACACTTCCCAGACATTCAAGGGATCCCTCAGTGTGCCGCCCCTGTGTTTGCCTGCTTTCACTTAAAGTATTTCCAAGGTTGATCTATGCTGTTTTTTTAATTGACATTTTATTCTTTGTATTTGCCTGCGTCAATTATTGCCATAATTCTTGGAAACAGATACTCCACCTCGTCCCAATAGCACTGATTAAAGCAACATTATTTTATCACCCTGTAAGAAAATGCAGCAGTGAAGTTCACTTAGAGGGACAGGCTCCTTGCTCTAGCAACTTGCGACGCCAGGTAAGGGCCCACGACAACTGCCTTCCTCCGGGTTTCCACCACCCGCAGTCGGGTCCCACCAACCCGAAGCCCGCGCGCCCCGGAGGCCCCGCCCTTCCGGATGCCCCTCCCAGAGCCCCGCCCCTTCCCGACTCCTGGCCCGAGACCCCGCCCCCCGGCACAGGAGAAGGAAGTGACGCACCGGAAGTACCCCGGTCCCCTCTCCGCGGGGGAAGGGATCAAGGTCCCAAGATGGCGGCGGCGTCGGAAGAGCGGATGACTGAGGAGGGAGGCGGCAGCCACGGTGACGGCGGCTCTTGTTCTGCCGCTGGCTCTGCCCAGCGACAGCCTCCCCCGCCCCCTGCCCAGCCCCCGCAGCCGGGGTCCCAGGCGCCCCCGGCGCCGGCGCTGGTTCCGGACCAGCTGCCTCAGAACAACACGCTGGTGGCGCTGCCCATCGTAGCCATCGAGAACATCCTCAGTTTTATGTCCTACGACGAAATTAGCCAGCTGCGTCTGGTGAGGCCCCGGAGACCCCGCCGCCCTCTGTCGGCCTCGGATGGGACGCGGCGCGGGCGCGGGCGCGTGCCCGGGGGGGTCGGGTCGGGCTGGGCCGGGCCGGGTCGAGTCGCCCCCTGCGCGGCCGGGCGACTTCCCGGGCCCTGCCGGCCCGCGCGGGGAGGAGGGCGTCTCGGTGCCCGCGACCCCGCGCTGTCCCGCCCCGGAGGCCCCGCGAGCAGCGGGAAGGAGCCCTGTCCCGAGGCGCGCGCCGGCCGGCGGGGCTTTTGGTTTTTGGGTTTTCTCGCAGTTCATCTTTTACCGAGTGCTCTACGCCCACCTGCCAGCTCGAGGAGTGTTTATTTATACCTTAAAGTCGCAGTCGTGCGGCCCAAGATTTTTTAGAAAATAATTTGCCATCGGAATTTTACTGCACCCCAGGGATTTTTTGACTGCAGGCTTGATGACTTAACTCTGTGGGGTATTTTGCTTCCCTTTAGTGAGTTTATCTTTGTAAGTGCTCGGGAAATTGAAGGAGGTGGACATTTTGAAGTGATTGCCAGCCGTTTCCCTGTGAAAGCCCAGGATTGTTTTTAAGAGGACAAAGACGTATTTCTGACTCCTTTGTACCATTTTCTTGTTAATCCATGTGCCATATTTCAGGCTTAAATCTCCAGTTTAAAATTGATTATAATTGCATTTTTAAGGGAAATATTTTTAAAAGAAACCTTATAAATATTAATTAGAATTGACGGCCAATTTGTTTCTAGTCATCAACACAGCAGTTCAACCATGCCATTCTTCAGGATGGAAAATTTTAGTTGACAGTAAATATTCAAAACCGATTTTCCCTAATTTTCAAAACATTTCATCCTAGAATCTTGTGTAGAATCTTAAATATTCCTTCAAGTTTTATAAAGAATGACGTTTGATCAAAATTCAAGCTGTGCTTCATGGTGTCTGGAAACTGGGCAGAACATTTGATTGAATTGAGCCATTCAGCGAGACAATGGCTTTGAAAAGCTTGGAATAGTCACAGTTGTGTTTTATGAGCGTTGAGGAAAAGTAGTTTTATTTGCTAGTTATTAAAGTTAAATCATTTTTAAAGGGAGAAAAGTTAAAACAGCCCACAATTTATGAATAAATCCCGTCCCTTTAAATAGCACACTTCATTTTTAAGCACTTAACCCTTCTGGCCCTCTAAGGTGTAGATTTATAATAGCAAGTACAGAGTGTTATCAGGGAGTCCATTTGGTATGACTCTGATCCCCATCCCCAGGAAAAAAGATTCTGCAGCGAGTTTTATGTCTGCAAATATGTGGGATTTGGGGGCTGGGGGGGGGGGTTGTTTTCTGTGTTATGGGGATATCTTCACTTATTCCTTTCTTTAAGGTTACTGAATAATTCTTAAGTAGATTAAATGAATATGTTGTGAGAATGAGAATTCAGAAGTGTTTGGTTTTCAATTCTTTGCTTTGGTTTAGAAGGTACAATTCAGGTAACATAAAAGAACGATGTTCCTTTTTTGCCACTAGGTGTCACCATTAATTTAATTATGATCTTTTTATGGACTTGCCAGTCAAAACAAGGTTGGGTGCTTTTTGTACACTAGCTCTTTTAAGTAGCCATTTACATCTAAAGAATTGTTTGCCAGAATATTGAGAAACTTAAATATTGGCATCTGGCATGTAACATAGTTCTTTTCTGATTTTTTGTTTGGTAGAGTTAAGGCTGGGACATGCTTGGGAGAGAATATTAAGAATAGAATTAGTTTTTGTAAAGCTAAATGTCAGCTATTTGGTGGCTTATGAACACGTTTGTTCATTATTTGGGCGTTTTTATTCCTTCTCCGTTTACTTGACATCCTGTAGGACCTCAGTCATAACTACGGTTAGCATATAACTTAGAATACAGTTACATAATCTATGTACTTACTGTTCTGCACTTCCCTTAAAAGATAAACTAAATTGAAATTGCTACAGTAACATTCTTCAATTATCTGTGCAGGTTAGTTGATAATAGACTTTGCCTCCTGTTACCATAAATAATGGAAATTTGATGCTCTAGTCCATTGGTTTCCAAAGTACCATGAATGTCTTATTAAATCAGATCTTCTTCTGCCATTAAATATTGCTCCAAAAATGTGTGGAAATTCTGGTTACACAGAGATAATTGTAAACTTAACTCCTGCATTGTATATATTTAAAATTATTTGGCTGAACACAGCTTTTAAAATAACAAATCATGTACTTTTATTTGCACAAAAATAAATATGTGCTGGCACCGCATTAGTATGTCAGCCATGTCCCCGTGATAGATTCGTGAGAGACCTTGAAACAAGTGGCAAAGGGTGAGAAGTGAGATCCTGCCCCAGAGGAGCAGATCAGAGCTTATTGAACCTGTGACTCATGAGCACAGTGTCTTTACTGCTGAAAAGTAAGTCCAGCAGACTGTTAAAAGATGCTTTAGAAAGAGACACTTCAGAGCAGAGCTTTCCCCCAGTGATTCAGTGGATCTCATTAATGCAGTGGAATCATTAGTGGTTCGGAACATGAATTTTACTGCAAGTTAAATAGAGAATTCTTACCTGCTATTTGGAATGATATTTTCTGGTCATGCTTTGTCCTGTTCAGAGCACTCTAGGTAGTTACATCTGCTACCTGTTTATAGCTCCTTTCAGGTCTTCAAATACTCTTATGTTAGAATATTTCTTGGTTACAGAGTGGTTTGGTTGGAAATATCAAGGAAAATGAGGAAGCGTTACTTTTGATTAAGTAGGCACACTCTCTGCTTCACATCTCTTACCATAAGTGAGGAGTTACCAAATTTTTTTTTTCTCAGAATGGGGATCTAACTCAGGACCTCGTGCTTGCCAGGCAGGCGGGGCGCCACTGAGCTAAATAACTGTACACTTCTTAAAAATTATTTAAGACTCTAAGACTTAACTTCAGAAAATTCTAGAAAACATTCTAGAGAACACAACACATGTTCCATTACCCATCAGAGCAATAATATCGTCACATTGTTGTCATATGCCTCCAGAAAACTGCCCTGGATTCTTTGAAAAGAACAAGTGAGAAGGTCAAGTTACTCCTCAGTATTCTGAGACTAGTGTGGCCTTGTAGACTTCCTACAAGGGTCTTGGGAATCCTGGGTCCCCAGACCACACCTTGAGAACCACTGCTCTGTATTGTTTTACAGAGAATACACACTATTGCTGAATTTTGATTGTATTTTTTTTCCCCTGTCCCACCATCTCTTCTTGAGGTTGTTGATCTTTGTAACTGGTACTTAGATACACATAAGAAAATATAATATCTTGGGAACATTTTGTTCTTCCTGCTAATTCTAGTCTCACAAAGTGAAGGGGTTCATCTAGTAACCCTGTGCAGTGTCAAACACAATGTACAAACACAGCCTTGAGCACACTTACAAGGCACCATAATAACAGAAGTGGAGGTGGTAAATACCAGAGTGTTGGGGCTCATCAGGAGAAACCTCCTTGGGTTGAGTTTATCAGTTACTTAAGGTAGAAGAACCTTCACAGCAGAAAAAAGGACAAAAAGGCAATGAAGAAATTGGAGAGGGATTCTTGGATTAAGATGAACTTGGATTTGGAAGTGTGGAGTTTTAAACATTCTGGGTTATTGGTTTGCCCCTCAACTTTTTTCATTTCACAACTAGTCAAATGTAACCAGCTATCTTTGCAAACCTCCAGGGTTGACAACCTTTGGTAAGGAAAACAAGGATTAAAAAGTAAAACCTGTCTCATCATTTTGTAAGGGGGATCAGACATTATCTCCATACCCTGTGCAGTAGTTTGGGTCTGGAATGTTCCCAGGGGCCTGTGTGTTGAAGACTTGGTCCTCAGTTTGGTGCTGTCAGGAGTAATGGGAACTCTTTTAAGTGGTGGGGCCTCCTACTCAGCTCCTTGGGGATGTGCCCTAAAGGGATGGGAGACCCCGTCTCTGCGCCGCTCCCCCTTTCCATTCTCCACTGAAAGGTGAACAGCTTTGCTGTGACACTCCCATCTGATGTGCTGCCCCTCATAGTGGCCTAACAGCACTGTGTCCACCCGGTCATGGGCTGGGACCTCCAAACTTTGGAGCCAGAAATAAACCTTTATCTTCGTAAATTGATTGCCTTGAGCAAACAGATTACCTCTGTTTGTTTAGTAAAAGAAAACTAACAGTAGCCTGATAATCTCTATGTGGCATAAATGCTTGAAGTGCTGGAGAAGGTAGTACATTAAAAGGATGACATAAGCATATAAATCCAATTTCAAAATTTTTGAAACTAGGAGCAAAAAATGATATTTGATAGATGTTTCTCCCAACTGTCTGTTCCTACCTCTGAAGACTGAGTGGAACAAATATTAAGTTGTTTAGTATCCCAAACATCTGAGTGAGCCCTTTCCCAGCACCATACTCCGATTTCCCCTTTCCAGAAAACGCCTGTGCCTTCAACGTAACCCTCCAGCGTTGGTACCTTGGTGAAGCCTGTGATTTTCTCTGAATTTAATCAGCTAGCTTTTCTAAGTCCCCACTGCATCATTACTACAGTTAGGTTGGAACTGTTTTTGAAAGGTCTTGTCTTCCCACTAAGTTTGAGCTCTGAGGGTGGAGATAAGTCTTTTCATCATGAATGCTGAGGGCTTTAGATAGTCTGATGCGATATGTGCGCTCAGCATCTTAAAATACTTCAAAGTTTTGAGTAAACAATAGAAAATATTGTGAAATGAAAATGTTTTCTGTATAAATTGTAATAGTGCTGAAAAATCAGTGATTAATATTTACTTCCAACAGAGATTAGGAAAAATTTTTTGATCTTTTAGTTCACCTTAGAAGGTCTTTAATATTTTACAAGACCATATTAGGTGATTTCAGAAAATTCTTACGAGAATAAAAACGGATAAGGGGATCTGAAGTTAGTATATAATGAAGATAGCCATGGTATATCAAGGCCCCTTTGTATTAATCACCAATCAGTTCCTCTACTGATAAGGACAATAATGGTGTAGACAGTTACAAGCAGAATAATCAACTAGGTCTTTCTCTCTGGCTTTAGGGGGCATTATAGGAATCCTGGGAACAGATTTCCTTCCTGTTTTTCAGAGGCAAACATAAAATCAATTTCTTCCAAATGAATATCTAAGTGAGATACAGAGAATTTAAAATTTGTAGTAATTCCTACAGATAACAGGATTATTTATGTGTGTGGTGTCTACACACATGCAGACAGTATAGTAGCACAGGTGATCTTAGGCAGTCCATTATAAGATAGACAGAATTTCTGATAAAGAGTTAGAGTATTCTAACCTGCAGGGGTGGCAGGTTGTGTGCATATTCAGTGTGGGAAATGGTGAGGTAGAGCATCTCTACTGTCCTTGAGTGAAGGCAGGAGGGCCCCACACCACGCTTGACCTGCACTGCTGGCTAATGCTTCGTGTGCTTTTCATGTTGACTCTTGCACTGTATTCCAGTTTGTCTTGGTGACTTATTTTCTCTTTGTTTGTTTGTTTTAACAACTTTAAACTACACCTGTCAGTTGAAATTTTCATTGATAAGCCCTTACTATTTTCTCTCAGTTCCCCCTTTGGTGTTCATCTAGGTTGATTTTAACTCTCTAGTGAAACTTTCAGGACTGTATCTTTAGTCCTAACATTACAGTGCTTACAGAAAATAACCAGCCAACTTGTCCCAGTAAGAGAACTTTTGAAAGATAAGTGATCTCTTTCTTTTTAAAGTGTCTTCTCATTACCATCAGATCTCCCTGCTTAAAACGTGCAAATTGTATTCCTCTCACCTCTGCCTAACGCTTGGTCAATAGCAGTTTTTTGCTTGTAACCTAGAAGACCTTGCCCTTTCTTCCTTCAAGGCCTGATTCAAATCTTTAGTCCTGTGAGGTCCGCCTTAGTTGGCTTTATGTGAATTTTTATATTCTCTTCACTCAGGCTCACACTCAAATTTGGCAGTATTCATGTTCGGTTTAGTTTTTAGATGAGTACTAACATATGTGTAAACCCTAAAACTAGCTAGATTCAGTGCAACAAAAGTTATACAATAAATAATTTCTACCAGACCTTGACAATTTTAGCAGTAATAATTAACCTCAATATTTTCCGATGTAAAGATGGTATTCCCAGCCCTCTGGGAGGCTGAGGCAGGAGGATCACAAGTTGAAACCCAGCCTGGGCAACTTAGCGACTTAGTAGTAAGACCACACATCAAAATGAAAAGGGATATACCTCACTGCAAAGGCTCTGGAGTCAAGGCCCAGTTACAACCGCCCTCCCCCTGGTTATCTCAATTTACCAACAATATGGTAGGCTGTACAGAGACAAGTGTTTTCTACAAGATTGTGCTGGAGGGTGCCTTGGTTTTTCATTTATTTCTTTTCTCTCTTTTTTAGTAGTGGACATTGAATTTAGGGCCTCCACATGCTAGGCAAGTGTTCTACCAATGAGCTACATCCCCACATCCAGTTTTTTCTTTAAAACATTAGTTTTAACAAAAATGGTTTTCACAGTACCTAGTTTTACTCCCCAGAGGCACAGCTCTCAGACTCTTGGCTGAGTCCTGTCTGACAGTGTCTACTAACTTCTCTCCTGTGAGTGGCAGGATTTAGCCCTCTCTCCTCCCCTCGTCCCACACATGAGCACACTGCCCTTCCTTTCTCCACAACCCAATAGCATCCCCCACCCTCACCCTTATAGGAAGTTCATTACTGATGTTTGTAGCAACAGGATTAGGGAACTGAAATATTTTTGTTACAGCACTAACTGTTGCTGATGTTTCTCACTCTTAATTCTTTCACAAGTGTACAGGGAACACTTTTAGTAGCTTTCTCAACATATGATCTGGCCCACATACTGATAGCTAATGAAATACATACCTCCGGGTTCTTGGGTTGTATAGAAGTTTTTAAGTTATCAAAACACTTCAAAAATTTAAAATAGCCGGGTGTAATCCCAGCACTTGGGAGGCTGAGGCAGGAGGATAGCTACAAGTTTGAGGCCAACCTAGGCTACATAGTGAGACCCTGTCTCAAAAAATCCAGATTTAAAATTTTAAAAATATTTTAAAATTAAAATAATGCCACTCATCAAGCATTTTGTTGAGAATGAATTATTTTTCATTAAAATGTTATTTATATATGGGGTTTATTGACTTTTTTCAGTGATAGTGAACAAGTGATGATTAATTTCATATAGATGTAGCGCCCTCTAGGAAGTATCTTGTATTGATATTAGATTATTAAGAACTTAGTGAACATCAACCCAGTTTTTGTCTTCCTATTTCCTCAGGAAAAAACAAACTTGTCAAGTGTTTCATCAGCATTTCGTTGCAAACATTTTCATTTCAAACATTTGTGCTTGGGTACTGTAAGATAGAAGCATACGACAACCCCTGGCTGACTGCCCTTAATATAGACTTACTTCCATTTTGTACTTTCAACATCCAGCCCTCTAGAGTGAGATTTAGGGATTTTTTTGGTGGGGAGGAGGAGTTATTGAGGCAAAGTCTCACTGTGTATTGCAGGCTGGCCTTGAACTCTCGACAGTCCTGCCCCAGTCTCCTCAGTGCTGGGATTATAGGTATGCCTCATCACACCTGGCCACAGCGAAATTTAACCCTCTGCAGTAAGAACATTCAAGTCTAACTGAGAAGGACTGCTAAAATCTCAGATCCAAAACAGATATTGAGGGGCCGGGGATTTAGCTCAATGGTTCCGCCACCTGCTTCGCAAGCCCAAGGTCCTGAGTTCAATCCCCAGTACCAAAAAACAAAAATAAAACAGATACTGAATACTAGAAAATGCTAGGATATATCATAAATATAACAAATACGTGGAATAAAGTTTTCAAATTAGTGCTAAGGTAAGCTTATTTAACTGAGAATTTTACATAGTACTTTAGAGTTCACTAAAAGATTTATTTTAGCATGTATTGTCTCATTTAATCCTAATGATGGCCCTTTAAGATGCTGTGGATTTATTACAGATGGCTGACTTGGGTTCTCAAATGGTAGCTGACTGCATGTGTTTTGGGCCAGGGGAAGAATAATTTTCTTTTAAGCCTAAACTTGGGATGGCTTGGGTGAGCATCCCTTTAGTTCATGGGTCAGCACTATCCTTGACATTAACTCTGAAGGAGTTTTTGCTTTCATATAGAAAATACTTCTTGCTCCAAGGGCTCAATTTCTAAAACTCAAGGTGTAGCAAAGTATCTTGCACATATTAGGCATAATTATTTTTATTCCCCCTACAGTTGTTATTATTATTACCACTTAATAAATTCTATTTGGAATCTAAAAAAAAAACCAAAACAAAAACAGATGGTAGCTGACTTGAACAGGAATGCAAATTAGCTGTCTGACTTCAGATCTTTTGCTTTTACTGTTTAAAAACAGCATATTCTATGAGAACTCAGAGTGGTTGCCTTTCAGCTACACATTAAGATGTGAAGGGTGTGACAGTATCTCATCTAAATGCTCTGATAATCATAAATGCTCCATAGTTAGCTCAAGTCACTAGAAGAAATTAGAATTCTCATTCTGGTTATCAATCATATAAATTTTGTGAGAGGTTAAACTCAAATTCCATTACGCATTTCAGCTAAGAGGGAATTTTTCTTTAAAACTTAAAAATCTTCAAGTACTTTCCTGTACTGATCTTCAGAACTACAATCTCCGGCACAAAACATTCAGCTAATATCTAGAGTAAATGCTGTCTCTTGGCCACACATAATACTCATTTCTCTAGGAGATACCACAGGAATGACATGGTCTGGAGGATTCTTCACTGATGATTTCAGAGAGCAACCTAGGGAATAATTTGACCACTGAGGACATTGAGCCATTAGAAGTCTAAGTTAACTGTGAACAGTCTGGTCATTAATGTTCTGTTTTATTAAAATTCTGTCTCCCTTTTCCCCCATAGGTTTGTAAAAGAATGGACTTGGTTTGCCAGAGAATGTTGAATCAGGGGTTTCTGAAAGTGGAGAGGTACCATAACCTGTGTCAGAAGCAAGTGAAAGCACAGCTCCCAAGGTACGCAGAGGCTGCCGATGGTACCCATTTACAGTTCAAGTGATGTGTGGTTTTTATACTGATTTTTAATTAGTTTTTAAATCTCAGAGTTTTCATGTTAAATAGCTCCCACTTTTTGTAAGGAAAAACACAGTAAGTGATGTCTATTGTCATTTGGTTTTCTTGGGCATTCCAATCAAGGGAATGAGCAAGAAAATGAAATGAAAGGCATTCAAGTGTGAAAAGGTGAAGCAAAGCTCTCTCTGCTCAAGGATAACATGTTCTTGTGTGCCAGAAATTCACTAATGAATTATTAGAGCAAGGAGATCAATATATAAAAATCTATTGTATTTCTACACACTAGCAGTGAACAGTCTGAAAATGAAATTTCGAAGACAATTCTGTGCATAATCATGTCCGAAAGAAAAAGTATACTAAGAAATTCCATGAAAGAAGCATGAGACTTGCCTACCAGATACTGCTAAACATTATTGAAAGAAATTAAATAAATGGAGGGCCATTCCATGTTTGTGGATTGGAATACTTCATATTGTTAAGGTAGCAGTATTCCCCAAATTGATCTACAAACGTACACACACACACACTGCAGTCTCTGTCAAAACCCTAGCTATCTGTTTTACAAAACATGACGAGCTGATCCTAAAATTCCTATGGAAATACAAGAAGTTCAAAACAGTCTTGAATAACAATAGCAATATTGGAGGACTAACATCTCTTAATTCCAAAGCTTACGACAAAGCTGCGGCCTTTAAAACAGTGTGGTGAGACATAAGCATAGAAATACAGACGGATGAAATACAGTTGAGAGTTCAGAAAATAAACTCTCATACTTCTAGTCAGTTGATTTTTCAACAAGGATGCTGAGACAATTGAATGGGGAAAGAAAAGTGTTTTCAACAAATGATCCTAGTAAAACCAAATACCTGCATGTCAAAGAATGAAATAGGACCCCACCTCACACTCTGTATAAAAAAACCATAGGGCTAAGTGGAAATGTCAGCACAAACTCCAGAACCCTTAGACGATGACACAATAGTGAGTCTTCATGAAGGTGAATTGGGCAGTGCTTTGTTATATATGATGGCAAAAGCATAAGTGAAGAAAAATAGATGTGGGCAACTTTATATCATCAAAATTTAAAATATTGTGGCTCTAAAGAATTTCTGAGGAAAGTGAGGGCTAGGGATATAGCTGTGGTAGAGAGCTTCCCTGCCACGTGTAAGACTCTAGGTTCAATCTCCCCCCCCCCCCGTATGAGGAGTGGGGAGAGAAAGCATGTTGGGATCACATACCTGATATGGGTGTATATCAAACCCAGGTTGTATGAGGAGCTCTTAAAACTCAATAATAAGGGCTGGGGATTTAGCTCAGTGGTTCTGCCGCCTGCCTTGCAAGCACAAGGACCCGAGTTCAATCCCCGGTACAAAAAAAACCTCAATAATAAAAGATAACCAAAGTAAAAATGGGCAAAGGATTTCAGTAGACATTTCTCCAGTGAAATGGGCAGTGAGCACATGGAAGAGGTTCAGCATGGTGTGCTACCAGGGAAGTGTGAATGAGATGCACTGTGAGGGCCGTGTGGCAGTTCTCTGAAAGTTAAAGACTTGCATGTGACCCAGAAGTTTCACTCCTAGGTGTGTACTCAGGAGAAATTAAAGCAGGAGTATGCCCAGGGCTCTGGGTTCAATCTGGGCACAGCAAAAAAGAAACAGAAAAACCCAGTAACCAAAATGTTGAACAACTCAGATAACCATCAGCCGATAAATGAAGTGATGATATTTCCATACAGTACAATGTTGTTCAGCCATGAAGAGATACACGCTGGAACATGAATGAGCCATGAGAACTATGCAAAGTGAAAGAAGCCAGACAAAGCTGCACACCTTAGGGTTCCATTTATATGAAATGTTCAGAGAGCAAATCTGGGAAACAAGGCAGATCGAGGACTGGCAGAGAGGGAGTGACTGGTGATGGAAATGTTCTATTAGATAAGTGAAGGCAAGTGCATAACTGAGTATACTGACAATAAATTGCACACTTCAGTTGCATGTACGAATTACTTCTGGGTAAAACTGTGGTAAGGTGGTAAGTTTTATGAGCGAAACGTGCTGTCTTGCCTGTGTCTGGGTGTGATGTAGCCCTTAAACTTGATACAGCCAGGGCTGGGGATTTCACTCAGTGGTGCCGCCTGCCCTGCAAGAGCAAAGACCTGAGTTCGATCCCCAGTACCAAAAAGAAAAAAAAACCTGATACTGCCCCCCAAAAAGAGGAAAAGTGTAATTTTTATTTATTTATTTATTTTTTGCAGTGCTGGTTATCAAACCCAGGGTCCTGTGCATGCTATGCAAGCACTGTATCAGAAAGCTAAGCCTCTGCCCTAATTTTTTTTCAATGTAAAGTGGGGGTTTTTTCCAGGTATTTTGTCAGTGAGTATTGGTCCTTTGAAGGACTTCTTTGCATAGTGATTCAGTCATCCTCACAGTTATGACCCCATTGTAGAATTCTAAATTCACACATCAATGTTAGATTGTTTCATTAAAGCATTCCAATTGCTTAACATTTTAATTTACAGTACTGCCTTAGTGGATGCCACTTATTTTTATAATTTTAGGAGAGAATCAGAAAGGAGAAACCATTCTTTAGCTCGTCATGCAGACATCCTTGCAGCTGTGGAAACAAGGCTGTCACTGTTAAACATGACTTTTATGAAGTATGTGGATTCCAATCTCTGTTGCTTCATCCCAGGAAAGGTAAAGTAGAACTGCCTGCCCAGAGCAGCTGCATTGTCCTGTGTCAACTGTAATTGTTATAAACTTAAAAAGTGGTTTGTGAAAAGTCAGAATTGCTTCTGCTTCTCTGAATGAGTTTCTAGGAATGGGTCTGGTTAGCTTCTGTACAGTCAGCAATATGAGTATGTACGTACATGTGGTCTTTACATTGAAAATGCTAACCGATGCAAGACAAACTTGATATTCTGCAGAGACGCTTGTTAAGAACTCAAATTCAAGGTCCGGGGATTTAGCTCAGTGGTTCCACCGCCTGCCTCGAAAGCACAAGGTCCCGAGTTCGACCTGTGGTACCAAAAGAAAAAACCAAAAAACTCAGATTCAAGTGCTGATCTTTAGTTAAGATACCAGAGACACTGCAGTGGACAAGATAGGGTTTTCCTGCCTCTGAGATTGGTACACTGAGGAGTAGGAGTAGGCCAGCCTTGGTTCTCCAGCACCAGGCGCACCCGGCTGCAACAGCGTCTTTGTGTCTGAGCAATGAGGTGAGGTCCAATGGGCGCCTGCTACTGTGGAAACCACTTGCTGGGTCTCCCCTTTGGAGTGTAACCCCCAGCTGAAGGTGGCTGTGGGCATGGGTCCCATGCTGCAAACACAGTCGTCCTCTACGTGTGCCCTAGGCAGCTCATTTGGCGGAGCTCTCATCCAGGTCCAGCAGGACAGCAGCTGAGAGGAGCCAGCTCCTACCTCTGTACCATGGCGTGGACATCTCCCTGTCCCTTTCTCTTGTCCTGGCTGCATCTTTCGTTGGTGAGGAACTTGGTTCTCGTGGTGTCATGGACAGCTGTGCACAGTGGGCGGAGCAAAGCTTACTTTCTCTTGCTTTATTGATAAGGCAGTTGAGGCCCAGAAAAGAAGTCAGTTGATTTGATGAGAACTGTACTCTGAACTGTTCATTTCTCAACTGTCTTCCCTGTTTTCTTCCTCTTTTCTTTACTAATTAATATCCAGAACTTCAAAAGAATTTATCCTAATTTTTTTCTCCTGCATACTTGTACTTGACTGGAAATTAAAAAATAATAATTTTTTTGTGCTCACTTCGGCACCACATGTACTAAAAACATAATAATTTTTGTTCCGCTGGGATTTTTTTGAGTTTTTTTGTTTTGTTTTGTTTTTTGGTACCAGGGATTGAACTCAGGTCCGTTGTGCTTTCGAGGCAGGCAGCAGAACCACTGAGCTAAATCCCTGGCCCAATTTTTTTGTTTTTAAAAAATACTTTCTTTATAGCTCATATTTCCTAAAACAATTGTGTATATACTCAGAATTTTTACTTTATACTTTTGGGGGTGGTTCCAGGGATCAAACTTGGGTCCTTACATTTGCGCAACAGGCGGTAAAACCACTGAGCTAAATCCCCAGCCCATTACTTTATACTTTTATATTGCTAGTACTTTTTATTTTACTTAGGCAAAATTTCTAACTTACCAAGAATTTGCAATATTTGGATTGTTTTATGACTTTTTTATACTTGTTGTCCTTAAATTTTTCATACGCTATCTTCAAAACATAAGCACGTGGCATTTAGTCTCCACATTCTGAATGAGGACATTGTGCCAGTCAGCTCTCCATTGCTGTTACAAATGCCTGAGGAGGGCTGGGGATTTAGCTCAGTGGTTCCGGTGCCTGCCTCGAAAGCGCAAGGTCCTGAGTTCGATCCCCGGTACCAAAAAAACAAAAAACAAATGCCTGAGGTAATCGACTTACAAGGAGAAGAGATTTGGTTTGCTCACCGTTCATGGGTTTCAGTCCCTGGTCACTTGGCCCTGTGGCTTTGAGCCTGTGGTGGAGTGGTTCATTGTGGCCAGGGTGGGAGCACATAGCAGAGGTGCTGGGCTCCTTGTGGCAGCAGGGAAGCAGAGAGACATCCCCTCCAAGGGCATGCATCTGGTGACCTTCCATGTGGTAGGCTCTCCCCTCCCATAGTGCCTCTGAGGAGCAAGACTTTAAATACATGGGCTTTGGGGGGACATTCCAGAACCACACTGCAGCAGATGTTGTACAGCATCATTTTCTTCCTGTTTAGCATACAATCTTTTTTTAAAAAATTCAGTTCTTTATAGACACAAAACAGAATAAAAATAATCCAAAAAGGGGGGGAGGGACTTTTTAAAAAGGAAAAGAAATTAAGGGGACTCATTGCTTTCTTTGAGATCTCCTTGGTCTCCTTCACTGTGAGAGCTTCTAGCTTTTCAGCCACTTTTCAGTATTAACATCTTTGCTTGGTCTCTTCCCCGCAAGCTCAGAGGCTCTAGCAGGTGCTGCTGGTGACTCCTGCTGCGAGGTTCGGTGACATGTGGTCACCTGCTGCAGCAGCCACACCTAAACCCAAGGAGCAAGAGACTGAGTCCTCTTGAGAAAATGGGGGCCATCTCAGTTACCTTTAGTTCCTCATAGGTTCCAGAGAGTCGTGACTGCCTGGACTCAAGGCCAGTGACAGTGAGCCTTCCATGTTCCCTGGAAACTGCATCAGCCTCAGCAGGTGAAGGCTGCCACAGCTCCCTGGAAGGTTCTCTGGCAGACAGAAAACCCACCTGCCTGGGGGCTGCAGCCAGGTGCAGTGTGAGTCTGTGACTGAAAAACAGTCTTGATTTGGTATATGGTTTCTCTCCCCAAGATTGTGCTCCTGGGTTATTAAAGCTCTGGTGGTTTTATACAAAATGTATTCATTTTGTTAAAATTCAGATCTACCGACAGCATTTTATTTCACAAGTTTCTTAAGTGAATCTGGGTAATAACAATGTAGTTTAAATTAGATTGGCAGATATGTACCACAGTTTTGAGAGTTTGCCACTACAGAGGTCAGCAACCTGTTTTTGGTAAAAGCCAGATAGTAAATATTTTTGGCTTTGTGAGCCATGTCGTCTCTGTCACAACTATTGAAGTCTGGGAAACAACCATGGACAACTTGTGGTAAATGAATGAGTCCATTTGTTCCAATAAAATTTCATTTACAAAAACAGGCACAGACCAAATAGGGCCATAGTTGGTGAACCCTGACCGCTTCGTTGATCTTTGCTCCATCGTTTCTCAGAACTAAGATGTCATAGGTAGATAGCTAGCTTACTCCTGTGTGCATTTCTCAGCTTTCCTATCTGGTGTGGAGGTTGCACTTTGTGTAATAAGCTCATGTCTGCATCTGAAGTTCCATGTCCTGGAGTTTGTGCTGCCTGTGAGCAGTGGGCACCTAACTATTCTGGGAGATAAAATAATGAAGATAAACTCAAATAGTCCCCGTTCCTAAGCATCACCAGTAGTCCTGTTAACCCTTGTGTTCCTACTGAAACACACTGGTCTCTAAAGTTTCAATTTTCACAGAATAAATGATTGTGTAAGGTCATGGAACTGAGTGTCCCTAAATAGACCTAAAATCTATATATTAGGTGTGGTTGCTTTGTTTTTAATATTTTGAGAAAGAAAACTGGTAGTGCTGACTTTTGTTATGAGAGCCAGCAGTTATATACCTCTCTGTTTGCTTTTATTCATTCTTTATATATGCATTATATTTTTGTCTCAACCATTTGAAAATAAGTTGGAGATATGTGATCTTTGATTCTTAAATATTTCAATATATTTCCTAAGAACTAGAATACTTAACCATGATATATATACAAAAATCAGAAAAATTGGGCCAGGATTTAGCTCAGTGGTGCTGCTGCTTGCCTCGAAAATGCAAGGTCCCAAGTTCAATCCCTGGTCTCCCCACCCCATCAGAAAAATTAACATTAATACAATTCTCTCATTTGACAGTTTACATTCAAATTTCATCACTATTCAAATACTACTGCTCCTAGCAGTTTTCTCTCTCAGTCTAGAATCTAGTTGAAGGATGACTCTGATTGTGGATGGACTCTGATCTTGAGCCAGAACAGCCTCTAGACTCTTGTGTCTCTTCCTTTTTACCTTTTAAACAGCATATGACAGTTCTTTGGAGGAATGTCCTTCAACCTAAGTATAGTATATCAGATGTTTCCAGAAGGTTGTGGTTTTGTTTCTTTTAAATTTGGTTTTAATGTGAAGATGCTTTTAAAAATCAAGATTAGTTGGGAGCATTTCTTACATTTACTGTGATTATCCCAAAATATATATACCTGGGGCTGGGGATTTAGCTCAGTGGTGCCGCCACCTGCCTCGCAGGTGCAAGGTCCTGAGTTCTATCGCTCGTACCAAAAAATAAACCCAGCCATGTGAGCCTTTAAAATGGAAAAAGTATATTTCCATAGTGAATTTTTTTAGATCTCTCTTCCCCACTCTACCCATCTTGGATACCTAGGGAGTTCTGATCATCTTTTTATGTGCTGCAATCTTAAATACAAGCAGAGAACAGAGAATCACTAGACTAGTATGTAACAGAAAACAGGAAGAAAAAAAGCCTTTCAGGAAGTCATGTGAGGTAGAAAACTTAAAAGAAACTGTAATATTCTAAGAGAAATTAAAGATGTGTAATATGCCATTTAAAGGATATTCAGAGTTTTAAATATTTAAATTTTTGAAATGTGAAAGACATTTTTTAAAAATTAAGCAAAAGAAGTAGATGGTGAAGTTAGGAAATCTCAAGTATAACAACAAAAAATATATGGAGCCAGGTGTGGTGACGCACACCTGTAATCCCAGTACTTGGAGACTGAGGCAGGAGGATCACTGCAAGTTTGAGCCCAGGTTGGGCAACATAGTGAGTTCAAGGGCAGCCTGAACTACATAGTGAGACCTTGTCTCAGAAAAAAAAAAAAGGTGGGAAATAAAACAGGTTCATTAGTCTAATAGGATCTTTGTTTGCTAAACAACAGATTATAAAAGATTCTCCTTCACCCACAGTAGCCTAAAAGTTTAAGTGATGGTATTTCATTTATTACTGTGCCAATTCAGACATAAGCATGACAGAATGAACTGCAGCCTACAAAGGTAGTAGTTGTTCACCATATTTGTTTTGTGTCATCTTTTCTTAAAATTTAAAAATACTTTTCAAGCCAGGTGCAGTGGCGCACGCCTGTGACTCAGCCCTCTGGGAGCTGATGCCAGAGGGTCACAAGCTCAAGCCCAGCCTGGGAAACTCACCAGGTTAGTGAGGCCCTGTCTCATGATAAAAACTTCAGAAGTCCTGGGAGTGTAGCTCACTTCAGAGGCCCTGGGTTCAGTCCTCAGTACAGCAGTCAGTCAGTCAATCAATCAGTACCTTATTTTATGATCTTCATCCTAGGCAAGGTTCAGCGTGTGACATACTGTTTTAAAGCTGAAGAAACAGCCACTAAGTGGCCTGACTGAGGCCTGTGTTCTTTCCACCAGACCTCGGAATGTGTGGAAAAATGACCAAACCTACTCAGAAAATGGATTGTTTTTAAATGTGGCAAGTATGTTTCCTTTATGCTGTTGAGATGCTGACAACTCTGGGAGAAGCAATGTAGTTTTCCACACACTATTGTTTTTTCCTTCATCTCGTCCCCTGCTCATAGCTTTTGGACAGAAGGAAGAAACTTTTAAATTTTATTAACATTCTAGCTTCTCCTACATAGATTGTATAAGTCTTTTGCCTTTTAAATTTTATTAACAATGGATTATCCATCTCATTGATTAAAATCTTTGTATAGTATAAAGATTTGAAAATGTTACCTTTCTTAGTAGAAGATTTGAGCAAGTACAAAGAAGTAACCTTATTTCCACACTATTTTTGGACGAGTTAAACAGTAAAGAAGATTTCACCATGTATACGTATAGTTTAATATGAGGTAGTAGCAATGCCTGTGGGATATTGGGATCTGAAACTCATCCTGAGGAATAACCGTTGTGCCCCCAGAGCAGGTAGATGCCCGGTATCTCCCAGTGCATATCTACTAGTAGTATCTACTAGTGCTACCTGGGGAGACTCCCCAACCGCATCTCCTGGCCACGCCGACCGGCATGTCCCTGGCCAGTCCCTCTCCTCTCCTTATCTGGTCGCCACCTCCTGCCTGCCTCCCTTACCCATGATCGTGGCCTTTCTCCGACCTACCTGGTACCCTCAGGCAGATCTTATCTCTGCCTTTTTGTATTTTCACACAACACTTTACTTTCATGGCACTTCGTACAGTCTGTCTGACTCATGCTTTGCTGTTTACGGGTCTTTCAAGGAGCCTGTCTTCCACTCCCTAGGATCTGAGTCTTCTCATGCCTGAACCATTAACAGTCACTCCCAGGCTAGCTCACACGTACTGTGAATATTCTGTGAATATTCTGTCGGTATTCCTGTACATAAACATAATAGCCAAAGCTTTATAAAGGTGTGGATCCTATATTAAACATGTAAGTACTATTTTAAAAGTGTTGTGTATTTTTAGAAATCCCTCTCCATAGAAATCTTGTTAACTCTGACCTTGGTGTTCAGAGTCTGCCCTCTAAAAACCGTATTGTTGGATGGAATTTAACCTGGGAGCTTGCCCCTGCATAGATAAGCCGGTAGTAAGCAGTTAAAACACTGGACCGTGCTTATTGAGGATCTGCCATCTGCCTCGCTGCTAGGCTCTGGAATCTGACTGAAACCAGGTGTGAGCTGTTCGGCCCCAGAGCTTACTGAGATACTGGGAAGACAGATTAACAAAAAGACGAATTTACAGTGTGGAATATGTATCTGAAGGGACAATAAAAGGTTTAATAAGGTGTTAACATAGTTTAAATTGGAGGGCTTCAGAGAAGACTGCTCTGAGAAAGCAAGATGTTGCTGAGACCTCAAGAATGGGCAAGGAAGCTGGACACGGTGGTGTAATCCCAGCACTTGGGAGGCTGAGGCAGGGAGATCATCGCGAGTTCAGGGCCAGCATACGTAGTGAGACCCTGTCTCCAAATGAGAAAAAGGAAAAGAATGGCTGAGGAATTTGGCTTGGAGGAGATACACAAGAACATTCCAGCAGCGGGGTCAGAATCTGTAAACACCCTGGGCACCAAGATGGGGACTGCCTTAATTCACAGAGGTAAAGACCAGTTTGTAGCTGTGGGTGCAGTATCCTGGCACTGGGGACATTTTAAAAAGCAGTTGAGCATTGCAGTGCTTTTCCCAAAACTTTGATAAAAAACAAAACTGAAATCAATCAATAGCCAAGCACTAGCATGGAAAGTATTAGTCAGTGTGAAACCTTTAAAAAAAATTCCTATTTTGGGTCACACTTTGATTTTTATTTTTATTGTTTTTGGAGACAGGGTCTCACTGTGTGGCCCAGGCTGGCCTCAAACTCGCAGCAATACTCCTGCCTCAGCCTGCCGAGTGCTAGGATGATAGGCGTGTGCCACCACATCCAGCTTTTTAGCCATTTCTTTATTATTTGAGTATTACATAATTTTTGTAGCTTTAACCTCCTGCTAGTTTTCATAAATGTTTATTTGGCAGCGAGACAAAGCTAATAATTGACAGCTGTTTTACAGACGTGCTGTAGGTCCTGGTCTTGCACAGCACTGACTGTATGCCTAAATAAAGATCACCTGTTCCTGAACGGGCTGCGCTGACCCTGACCCTGACCCTGACCCTGACCCTGACCCTGACCCTGACCGGGGGTCTTCGGCATCGCTGCTCCCAGGTCTTGGAGTGAGCAGTCCTGCTCCTCACCCCCTTTATGCTGTCAAAGAAGCCTCTCTTGCCCTCTCACCCCAGGGGATGATCACATGAGCCTATTTTTCTCATGGCACTATCTGAAATTGTTTATATTATTGTTCACTTAATTTTCATAAGAACAATTTTGTGATGGGGTGTGGTGGCACATGACTGCAATCCCAGCACTTGGGAGGCTGAGGCAGGAGGATTGCTGCGAGTTTGAGGCCAGCCTGGGCTACACAGTGAATCCAAGGCCACCCTGAACTATATAGTGAGACCCTGTCTCAAAAAAACAAAACAAGGAGACAAAAAAACAATTTTATCATCCTGTTAAGGTTTTTACCCATGTGTGCTATGTAATTGCAGTGAGCCTGAGAGAAATGACCATTTTTCTTCTTAGCATAGGTAGTGGTTTCTAACATAGTAGTTGAATAAGTCACTGAAACAAAAATTATGTTCTTTCACAGCAGCAGTGCCAGAAACACGTGTCACCCGCCAGTGCCGTGCCTTCTGTGCAGACACGCTCGCCCGCATGTTCTCCGTGGCTGTGCCAGGCCCTCACCTGCAGTTTTCTCTTCCCCCAGCTGCCTGCAGTCAGTGTCACCCTAGCCAGCCTCCGCCGTGCCCTCTGCCCAGGCCAACCCCTCACGGCTCGTAGGCTCGCTCCGGCTTCTTCTGCAGTCTTCTCTGGCAGACGCTGCGGGTGTCCTGCTGACATTTGCTGAGTATGCGTCATTAGAGACGGGCCTGGATCATCACACAGCGCCAGGCTGCGGGCGTGGGCGGGTGCTGTTCTAGGCTGTGGCTGAGAAGGAGAGGAGACCAGGGACAGGTCATGAGTGGGAGCTGCCTGGGTAGTGCAGGGGTCAGGATGCGTGTGGCTCGAGGTTGTCCAGGTGCAGGTGATGCATGGTGTGGTGATTCACCCTGCTCTCTGCGCGGCTGGATGGGAAGTGTCATCTTCAGGTCTCTACAGAAGCTTTTGGAAGAAATGGGGCTGCCTTTGAGGGAGAAAAGCTGGGAGCCTAAATGCCCAAGGCAACTCAGTGCCTTTCCAACAAGAGTTAGGAAGAGGGCTGAAGAACGTGCTCTTCTCTGTGTGTGTTGGGCCTTGGGTTTCCCTGTTGCGGTTACTGTTAGGACAGAAGGTCTTTGCCACCACTTGGTGACGGCAAGAAAGCGTGGTTTGAGGAAACTTGTTCCAAACCATGGCAGCCCTTAGAGAACCAGACTCCAGGGGATAGAGCCTGTGGTGGGCAGTGCAAAAGGGAGAAAGCACTCAGGCTTTGGGGAGCAGAATCGGGTGTGGAGGGTTAATATCATATGGTTCGGGGCCCACCCCTGCCCCACCCCTACTCCCATACAGGATTTAATTTCTTTGTTCAGTCCTCTGGTTTCTTTAACAATTTGTAGGGCCCTCTCTGCACCACTTGTGTGTACATCTCTCTCCAGTTACTCCGTGATGTCCTTTAAGGCAACAACTCTATTTTATTTGTCCTGATTTTCTAGCCCTAGCAGAGTCCCTGGTTCATAAAAGGTGCTTAGTAAGCTGGCCGTGGTGGCACACACCCTAATCTCAGCGCTGGGAGGCTGAGGCAGGAGGCTCACCACGAGTTCAAGGCAACCTGGGCTCCATAGTGAGGTCAAGGCCAGCCTGGATTGCATAGAAACTGTCGCAAAAACAAACAGGTGTTTAGTATATCTGAGTGTAAAGTAGTATAAGAAGCCCAAAGCCCTGTGTCACAGCTGGTACTGTTGTCCATGTCCAGTGTGTCTTCTTGGGAACTGCAGAACCGGCCATCACTTGTCTGCTGCTTAGCCATTTTCTTTTCTTTTTTTTTTTTTTTTGCTCAGCCATTTTCTTAATGAAAGTGCTAATGAGAACTTGTTGTTTTAGGTGATTGATGAGATTTACCGTGTGTTGAGATATGTCAATTCTACCAGAGCCCCACAGCGTGCTCATGAAGTCCTCCAGGAGTTAAGGGATATCTCCTCCATGGCCATGGAGTACTTTGATGAAAAGATCGTTCCAATTCTGAAGAGGAAACTGCCAGGATCGGACGTGTCTGGAAGGCTCATGGGCTCTCCTCCAGGTAGCTCTTGTTTAGAATATCTTCACTTCAGAATAGCATGTGGGCCCTAGTTTTGTAACTTGCCCTTTTATTCCCACTTAACTGTGTCTTGAAATATTCTGTTAGTAAATATTTATTGATGACATCATCTTTAGTGACAGATTGATTGACCAGAACTGTTTAAAGGAGCCATTGTTATTTCTAGTTTTTTTAGTTATTTGTGGTGTTGTTTGGTTTTGGGTGGGTTTGGTTTTGTTTTGTTGCTGGGCACTGAACCTAGCTAAGCATGTGCTGTACCACTGAGCTACATCTCTAGCCCCTGTATCTAGTTTTTCAATTAGATTACAATCTGTAGAACAATTTTGTGACTAAACCTTTGCACATATCCACACCTGTAGACTTTATAAGTTTCATTAAAGTAGCATTGTTGGGATAAAAGTTATATTTAATTGGGTATATACTTGGGGGGTCTGATTACTTAATAGCTTTTAAAATCAGAATTAAGCACATCAGATAAAACCCAAAATTCTTCATGGAAATAATCCAGTAAATTATCTCAGCCACTGCAGAATCTGACTGCTCCTTTAAAAGCCAGTGCACATAAGGCTCTTTGCACACCGTCACTTCTCTGGTAGCTATTTTCCAAAAATATATTGGATCCTAAGAGATTTGTGCCCTTATTTTTTGAAAGACTTAAGTTGTTCCATGTTCTCAGCCCTTGTCAGGAGGGAGGGCTTAGTAAGCCTTTCTCTTGCACAGATTGCTTAGTACCCCACAGTGCCCCATGGGCTGGGTGGGTCTCTGATTTAAGATAAAGCTCCTGCTTCTGAGCTTTACTGTAGATTTACTTACTGAGCACCTGTCACGAGCACAACATTGTACCGTGTCCCGTGGACACTCAAAGGAGCCTGCTATGCAGCAGACTCAAAAGTTAAGTTACAGTAGTAGGAGGAACCCTTTGAGGCAGGGTCCAGATGGCAGAGGCAGAGCTGTGAGGGGTGAAGTCTGGGCGGGCTCTTGTGGTTGCCGCCATGCAGGCAGTGAGAGAGGATCTGAGCCTCGGGTAGCTAAGTGGGGAGGGAAAGGAGACTTAGTGTTGTGGTGAGTTACACGTGCAGGGAGGAAGTGAGCGTGCTGGGCTTGGGGTAGGAATAGGCCTGCTGGCTCTTCTAGAAAATCTACGGGAGAAAAGCTTGAAATCCTGGGAATGGCGGTGCACGCCTGTAAGTCTAGCACTCGGGAGGCTGGGGCAGGAGGGTCATAGGTGTTGGAGGCAGCCCGTGCTACATGGTGAAGGGAGGTAGGGTAAAAGCTCGGTTATCAGCTTGGAAGCATGAATTCTGTGCCCATGTTACCAGCCGGTGACTCTTAATAGTACTGAAGCCTTCACACATCGTTGCCAGCAGCTGCTCCTGATCATTTTGAGTGATGTAACCCTTGCTTTGATGGAGTCCTTGTTGTATGTTAGCTAAGTGCAGAGTAAACCTAAGTACATGGTAGGGCTGCGGGTGCAGCTGAGCAGTAGACTGCTTGCCTAGCATGCATGAAGCCCTGGGTTCAGTCTCCACTGCTGCAAAACAAAAAAAACATGGAAAGTCTACTTCTAACTCAAAAGTTTATGTCTGTTTATGTAAAATAAGATGGAAAGTGGTAATTTGCTAATTTGAGTACTTTGGTTTTCCTACTTGGTCCTAAAAGTGCTTGACAGTACTTTACGTACTTACACTATTCAGTGCTTTCTCCATTTGCTGGCAGTGCATATACGGCATTGCTCTGTGAGCAGGAGAGAATTCAAATGCATTCATAGTTCAGACATGGCTGATCAGTCTGTTCAACCAAGTGGATTGCAAAGGAGAAATTCTGCATCCTAAAAGGAGCTTACCTAGGTACCCCTGCTCAGGAAACATGTTGAGTGGTGACCCTTTGAAACTTTCTCCACAGTGCCAGGCCCGTCCGCAGCCCTAACGACAATGCAGCTCTTCTCGAAGCAGAACCCTTCGAGACAAGAGGTCACCAAACTCCAGCAGCAGGTTAAGACCAATGGTGCTGGCGTGACTGTTCTCAGGCGGGAAATTTCTGAGCTTCGCACCAAAGTGCAGGAACAGCAGAAACAGCTTCAAGACCAAGACCAGAAACTGCTAGAGCAGACCCAGATCATAGGGGAACAGAATGCGCGGTTGGCAGAGCTGGAGCGCAAACTGCGGGAAGTCATGGAGAGTGCTGTGGGAAGCTCCTCCGGGGCCGGGCAGAGTGAGGAGTCTCCTCGGAAACGGAGGAAGGCCACAGAAGCCATGGACTCGCTTAGAAAATCAAAGCGGCTTCGGAATCGAAAGTAGACGGGAGCGTGGGCCTTGCTCCAGAGGAGAGCAGGGCCGGAGCCTGAGCAGTTTTGCCTGTCAGGACCCTGGAAACAACACTGTCCCTTGGGCTTCTAGGCTTCCAGAACACGACCTGGAGGTGGGATGTTCTCTCCCTGCTTCTCCTTGTGGAGCTGACGCACAGAATCTCTTTACTTTGCAATAGATTTGTACTAACCAGACCTGTTCTATCATGTTTTGGGGAATTGACTTTTTTCTGTGCAGATAATGTTTAATTTTGTTTCTGCATATATGCACATTACCTAGGATCTTAAGCAAACCAGTCTTGACAGACTAGAAGTTGTTTCATAAAGAAAATGTCCTGTTCACTTGAAAGAAAAAAACCCTACTTTTTAAATGGACACTATCTTGTTTTAAAACAAAAGTTGACTTTTTGTTATAAGTGACCTTTGTCTGGAATGTCTGAAAAGTAGTTAATGCTTTTGGTATCAAAGTAATGGGTAACTGAAAGGACTTGCATAGTATTGACTGTAGAAGGAGCCTCTACAGTACTGACTATATATTTTTATAAACTACTGGCAAGGGACGGATCCAGTTAGTATCCACGTTTTCAGTTCTCTCTGGGCCATGTCCTACATTCGCATGGATGGATGCATGCACTGCCCAGTCAACCCCCTTAAAAGCTCTTGCACTGGCATTGACCTTGAACCTCTGTACTTCACTTCTTAGCATCTTGTTGATTTAAGCGCTTTGCATCTTCTTCCACTGCAGCTGCTTGCCTCCAGGGGAGAATTGTTAGTCCATTTGTCCTCCAGTTTTCTAGAACAAGAGACTATTAAAGCCTGTTGCTTATCTGTGCTCTGTAGGGTTCAGGTACACTGGCTGAGGCAGAACCCCAGGTCCAAGGCTCCTTCTATTAAGACCAGGCCTCTGGGAGCTAGTGCTGGTCCTGACTCCTCACTGTGTTTGTGGGTCCAATGTGGTGACTGAGTTTGGGGCCCAACTTGTGGATTTAGTTTTGCCACTGAAGGAAAAATTTACTGAAGAAAATAGTGCCATGAAAAAGCAATTTGATCACTTCATTTCTGGGAGCTGACCTGAGGGAAGCTTTCTAATATTAACTTCAGGCTTCCCTTGCCCTAATTTTAAACAGAGCTTTAATTCTGTTTGCACTCCTGTTTTGAGCTTGTAACTGGAAAAGCATGTCTTGCACTGTTCACCCTTCTGAGTGGTCACTTTAACAGCCTCCAAATTGTGTACAGTGGTTCTCTTCCCAAGCTGTATACTTTTGAGACATTCAGTTATCACTGTCCTAGTTTTATTTTAAATGTACTAAATTATGTAGTTATTTGACTGTTAAGTTCTTTTAAACTGCTGCCATGGGCTTCAGTTATTTAAAGTAAATGTAGGTGTAATATAGAAAACTGTCCCTTTCCAGGTGGGAGTTTTGACACCTGTATAAAATCTAAGGTTTGGGTAAGTACCTTAGTTGAACAAAAGCACAAGGTTATCATTTCCTGTATCTGTCCAGCATGACAAGGTTATTCATACCTTAGGTAAAGTTACCAAGTGGAACTTTTTCCTGTCCATTTTTAGTGTTGTCCTTTCATAATTTTGTCCTCAGATTTTGATCAATTCTATGTCTTAACTTTTAAACCCCATTTACAATGTAGTGTGTTTTCAATGAAAAACCATAAAGTAACATTCAGGTGTTTCATGCTATGTTGGGAAGGTGATTTTAAAATAAACAGTTTCCTAAAAACATTTGTCAGCCAAGGTGATCCATAAAAGTCCCTGTCTGGAATGCATTTTCTCAGCAGGTCTCACTTTTGTAGTCATAGGATTTAGCCATATTATCAGAACTTTGCAGAACGCCTACTGGCATACTCACAGCCTTTAATAGTTGTTTTTCTGCTAACAGGAAGACTTTGAAGTAGCCAAGTGCAGCTTTACAAAGTATGAATCTTATGCATTAAAGGGGTAGAGCCTCAGATTATTTCTGCAGTAGTTGTTAATGAATTGTTAAAAGTTTCCTGAATTTCTTTTTAAACTCCGTCTGATTAGCCTAAATGTATCTGTAGTCTTGCATTGGTTAACATGAGTGTGTGGCGTTCATAATGAGCATCCACGGTATTGGAAGGTAAATTTTCTGTTCCTCAAACCAAATTTCTGCAGCATACACTCACAGTCTCGAGTGGCACTTGTCAGTGCGTGAATATCCACACGCAGGGAAACCAAACACTACAGTTGAATTGAAGGTTCAGACTAGCTAAAGCACTGTATGTTCTCTCCTTCACCGTCATTGAGCCAGCTGTTGGGTAGCTGTCACGCTTGCTCTGGGGTATCTTGTAGGTACTGAGTTCTGCAGATCTCACATCATTTTCACCAGCTCAGATTGATAACGTTCCATTGAAATTGTAAATCAGCTTCCTAGGAGAGCACCCTCCTGCCCTGAATTTTCTCTCGGTCATCTAAATGCTGCATGTTGTTAATAGCACATTTCATAAAGTATTTCCATCACCTTCACTGCTTCTCAGAGATGTCTGTGTTACTGGGTCATGCCCACCTAAGTTTACTGTGGTACACACTGATACGTGTATAGATGTGGAAAGACATGTGCAGAAAGTGGAGAGGACGGCCCCGCACCCATCCCACACACACACACACACACACACACGAGTCCCACACGTCTTAAGACCACAGAGCCTGTTGTGTTCAAACTTGTCTTCTGCCGTATGGACCCTGGAAATGGGGCAAGCGCAGATGTGTTCAGAGAGGTCCTCCTGTCCCGAAGCCTGTTGGGGTGCCATCAGCTCTAAAGCCACTGCTGTTGGAAGCAACTTTTTTGTGAAACATGTTTTTTGGAGTACTGAACTTTACAGGGGCTTGCCTTAATCTCTACTTAGTAGTTTCAAGATGTATACGCATTATTCTCCATGTTAGAATATTCTGTGTAGCCCCTAATGTGGGTAAAACAGTGTAAGTAATGCCTAAATAAGCTAAAAGGTGTCACTGCAGCTGGATTTTGACAGAAAACATAATAGGCTATGCTTCATAAAAATAATGGCACCTTAGGATTGCACTATTTTGTTCATTATTTTATATGCCATTTCATAGCCTGCACTTTAATCTCCAAAGAAACTATGTATGATGTCCCAGTTGTTTCTTATTATTAATAAACTTGTTCCTAGCAGGGCACTTAGTTCTATTTTATTATGCTGAACTGGTTTCCTGGAAAGTGGATTCCTTTCCTGAGTTCCCTTATTTCCGTAGCTGTGATATTTTCTAGGACTTGGGAACCCCTTTCATCTGTTTCCAGCAGTATATGATTTGATGTAGTGTAATGTAAACCTCATCCTCGGTGATCAGCACATGCTTAGATCCTCTTCTGTAGTGAGCACCAGTTTGTTCTGAAATTGATGCTGTGCGTGAGATTCGAAGGCAGGAGGGGACAGAAGGCATCTTGAGACGTCCTGCGGCAGCAGTTACTGGGAAAAGGCTGGTTCTGTAGGAAAACCAGCTCTTTGGCTGGGGGTCTGTCTGAATTTCTTTACCTGGTACACAGAAGGCTAATGGCCTGCCATCTGCAGTAAATTACTTTCCAAAGTCCTGAGCCTGCAGAAGGAGACTTAGTACTGGGTTGGCCAGTGCCTGCTGTGCTCTCACTTGGAGTAACAGTAGTTATATTGGTGTCAGGCCTCTTGCAACTTTCCAAGAATCTTGGTTCAATTTCTGAAATTCAGAAGTTACGTCCAAAGTTTTCCTGTTGTGTCTGAAGGAAACCATGAGGTTTGGAATCTTAGCAGTAACCTCTGTATCAGATATGTTGCCAAAGCCTGGCGGACCATACCTAAACCACCAAAAGTTGAGACGTGTCTAGCATTCCTTGCTGTGCTGCCGTTTGTTTACCTGTGCTTATGAGCAACAATAAAACACTAGTTTACCTTCTGGAATTTAATTGTTTTGACTGATCGATTGGAAAATGAAAAGCACCTCCCAGTTACACAACAGGGTACATAAATAAATGTGTTGTCACCAGTGCTGCTGTTTTCTTTGTATTTCATGCACCAGAGTTTGGAGCTCTGTTGCTGCCAGTGCCCTCCCTCCAGGAGCCACTGCCCCACAGAGCACACACTGGTGCTTCGCACATCAGGGTCCTTCCTGGAAGCCACCTGAGCAGACCAGGGCTTGCACCACGTGGGGGAGCTGAGCAGCCCCACCTGCCTGTGAGGCTCTGTACTTGCTGCCTGACACCACATTTTTTTTTCCCTTCCTAGTGAATGTTGCACCCGGCGGGCCTTCCCACTAAGCTACATCTCCAGCCCCCTCCCCCCTTTTTTAGAATTAGGTCTTGCTAAGTGACTCAAGTTTCCCAGGCTGGACTGGAACTTGTCCTGCCTCAGCCTCCCAGAGTGCTGGGATCACAGGCACTTGGCTCCACGCCTGACTTGATACCTCTTTCTAAAGCAGCCAGGGGCAGTGAAATGCCACACTCCTGTGTGGGGATCCCTCTGCATCCCCTCAAGGTAGGCAGTGCTGGAATCACGCTGAGGGAGGCATGTGGAGCTGAGGATCCCAATGAAGCTGGGCTGTGGCAAGCCAATGTGCTCCTGAAGGTTTGGGGCAAGTAGAAAAAACTTGTTAGGGCTTCTCAGCCTGAGATCTGGAGTCTCACTCCAGCTGCTTCATTACAGAAGCATCACTGATGCTTTGGCCCTGCCAGGGAAGAACATGGTTCTCTTCAAAACTCCTGCTTGCTCCAAAACTAATGCTAGCATTTTCACTGGAATAAATTCTACAAATCAGTCTCACCCATTTCTTAACTGTAACCAAGGAAAGTGCTGACTAGAGACAGAGCAGACTCCTCTCTGTTAAGTGCTGGCCCATCTCCTGCATCCTGATGAGACCACAGCATTCAGAGTCTTCATAAGGCAGATCACAGTGCAAAGCCTGGATTTCCAGAGTCTCCAGCCAACTCCATTGTTGGGAATAGGTTCACACTGTTAGAAAACCAAAGTCCTTACCAGTATTTTCACTTTTTATAAACTGGGGGTGAGTGCTAGGGATGCAGATCCGGTAGAACACTCACCTGGTGTGCCGAGGCTCAAGTTCTGTCCTTAGCGAAATCTTGGTGAACCTCCCCGAGGTAATCCCTGGAACAATTCAGAATTAATGATGACCATCTTTGCTGCTCTCAGTTTGCTGACATACTTCCCCTGGTTTTGGGTGAGTCACCCAAGAAGCAACTGTAAGGAGACAAACCAGGAGTAGTGGGTATCAGAACCAAAAGTACAAATTATGTCTAGACAGGAAATGTAAATCAAGGAAGAACTTCCCGGAATTCAAGATACCTCCTTTATATAACCTAATCAACGGAATAGGTCTCAACTTGTCCTAATCCTACCCCTAACCCTTTTCCTGGTAACACACAAAAGCCAGTTTTTAACTAGCTGATTTGTTAAAAGTCCGTACAACTGGCTCTGGGGTTGGGACCCCCACCCCGGGCCTAGCGGGAGGGGCGCCCACCTGCTGGTTCAGAGCACCAGTTTCTGTGGCCCACTGTGGCCTTCGCCTCTGCCCTCTGCAGTGGAGGTGAAATGCAGTTTATGCAGCCTTGGGAGAGGACAGCGGAGGGATGGCTGTCTGGGCTCAGCACGTGCGCGCATGGCGACTGCCAGACGGTGCCGTGTGACTTAAACAGTTTCACACAGGAGAACAGATGTGTGGAGGTGAGATAAGAAAGCCTCTCTTTGGGCCGGGGATTTAGCTCAGTGGTTTCGCTGCCTGCTGCTCAAGCGCAAGGACCTGAGTTCGATCCCCGGTACCAAAAAAAAAAAGAAAGCCTCTCCTCCCAAAGGAGCTGCACATCTCTCAGGATCGGCCAGCTGAGCTCAGCCCCTGCCTGGATTTATGGGCGGCCTTGGTCTGCACACGCCGGCCCCCACAGGAATGCCCTGGTTTCTAGCACAGAAAAGAGAGTTGCAACTCCTGCAGGCTTTCCAGCTTGCTGGGAAATTTTACTTCCAGTTCATCGTAGCTTTCTCATCTTTTAGAAAACTAGGACAAAAAGGGAACAATTTGGAGATCCAAGTTAACTCCCTTTCTTGCCTGAGTCCGCTCCTCAGCCTGGGATGCCCTCCCCTCGGCTCAGGCCGGGCAGCACTGGCCCTGGAGATGCAATGAGGCCAGAGCCCAGGGAAGGGCTCCCCACCAGGCTCCACCTGTCACCACTTGCTTAGCTCACCTCGAAGGCTCTGTCGTCACAGGGCTGTTGCTACAACTAAAGAATTCGGGGAAGCCACAGGGCCCGGCGTCTGGCCCGAAGCAGCTCAGTCCCGTGACCGCACTTCTGAATACGCCATTGCTCCTACAGGTCCTCTCTCCCGTGTGTCCCTTACCAGTGGCCTGGGTCCTCTAGCAATGAATTATGTCTAGAAAGGAGATGCAAATCAAGGAAGAACTTGCCCAAATTCAAATCTCATGGATATAACATAATCAACTGAACAGGTCTCAACTTTTCCTAACCTAACCCCTAACCCGTTTTCTTGGAGTAAACAAAAGTCAGTAGGAGCAGGTCTGAAACGCAGGATCCCAGGCCCCATTTGGACCCAAATCTGCATTTTCACTGGATCACCAGGTGATCCGTTTGCACTCGCAGTAACTTCTGAAGACCTACAGCAGTGCACAGGTGCTGTCTTGGAACTGATTGCTAACAGCAGCCACAAAGAAAGGGAGAAGCCGCACGGGGGGAGGGAGGCTGAGGCAGGACTGCAAGTGAGACCCATCCTTCCAGTGGAATATTACGCAGCTCTAAAATGAAGAAGTTTTTATATTCTAATAAGGAACAACCTCCAGGAATGCTAAGGGAAATAACTGAGTGCAGAATGTATTCAGTGTATGAACTGTTCTGAATGAAAGAAGCGGGAACTGCATCCAGTTGTGTGTCTATGCATAAAGAAACCGGATGGTTAGTATGGGGCTGTACCATGGTTGGGGAGTGGAGTCAAGAGGAGCTCATTGCTGGGTGCTTTTTGGTGTCTTTTTCTATTTTTGAACCATGGCGATTATCTGTCCCCAAATCCAAGAGCCTCTGTCGTGTTTGTCCCCTCCCTCCATGTTGAGCCCAGTCCTCAAGGCGGGGCATTCAGAGCCCCCAGGGCCTTTGGGTCTGAGGCTCCACCCTCACCCATGAGAATGTCCTTGTGAAAGAGGACAGCTCTCACGCTGTGCCTTGTGGGGTGGCAGGGAGGCGGGAAGCCACAGGAATGAAGTTCTGCTCTTTACAAGAGGCCTATGATAGGGAAATTTGTTAGAGCAGCCCAAATGGGCTGCAACATTGGAGAGAAAAGGAGAACTTGAGATTCACATTTCCTTTGGAAATGGAATGCATGTGCTATAATTGAATCTTTTCTTTTTCTTCAGTGCTGGGTATTTAAATCCAGGACCTTTGCACAGAGCTACATTCCTTTCTCCATCTTCTCATTTTTTTATATTTACTTTTTATTTTTGAGACAAGGACTCACTATGTAGTTCAGGCTGGCCTTGAACTTACTATGTAGTCCAGGCTGGCCTCGAACTCGTGGTGATCCTCCTGCCTCAGCCTCTTGAGTGCTAGGATTACAGCTAAATGCCACCATGCCCAGCAATAAGAGTCTTGGGTTGAGTTTATTCTAAGCCAAAGAGAAGTGACCACATCCCAAGACCACAGAGTCGACATTTTCCGAAGTGGAAGAGGTCACGTGAGCTTTTGTAGGCAGAGTGAGGAGTGGGCGGGCGGTTAACACAGTGCTCATGCACGGCTGAGGGCGGCAGGAAACATTTCTGCTAAATTCCAGGCAGTTCCCAGCCTCAGCTTTGGGGTTGGGGGTGGCTGGAATTCTGCTTGGTTTAACAATGTGCTCCTTTCCGAGAGCTTTACCTAATAGTCTCAGGAATCCTGGCAAGAGGCAAAGGTTGCAAGCGACGACCTCTTTATCTAAAGGCCTGAAATAGCCCAAGATAATCGCTGCTCCAACCGGCCCGCCGCATTCCAGCCACAATCACAGTGTCCTCCGCCGAAGTCACAGCCGGCAAGATCGCCGGTGCAGACCTGGCTTCTTGGGCGAGCTTCAGCTCCACGGCGCTCTTAGGGAACACACCAGGGTGGGACGCACCCCAGGGTCGCCATCAGCGCAGTCTGGACAGAGACTCTCCAGCCAGGGTCCTTCCCGAGACTGGCTCCTTCCTGGTTGGTCCGAGCCCCTGCCAGCCTCGCACATCCTCGAGCCTTTCTGTCCCCGTGAGTGAGGCCTGATTTTCCGCACTCTTTTTTTTTTGAGACGGGGTTTCACTGTGTAGCCCAGGCTGTCCGGGAACTCACAGCAGTCCTGCCTCAGGCTCCCAAGTGCTGGGATTGCAGGTGTCTGCCACCATGTCCGGGTGCACTTCTCCTAGAGGGAGCCGTCTCTCCTGCAGTCTTTGGAGTCAGGCTCCTTCCAACATCATGCTTCTGGGACTCCGAAGTGTGGGTGAACATCACCAGGAAGCACCTTGTGCACTCGCTCGGGTGGGTCCACTGAACAGGACTTGTTTGTCCTGTGGCCTGCCTACTGACAGCTTAGTTGTTTTTGGCTCAGGGCAGGTGTGCATGAGTCTGTCCCAGCAGTCACGTACAAATCTGTGAATGAACACGTTTTCGTTTCTCCAGGGAGTGGAACGGCTAAGAGTCATATGGCAACTCCCTGAGAAAACCAACTTGTTTTTCAAAATGACTAGAACATGTTACATTCCCATCGAGAGGCCAAGCCAGGCCAGTTGTGCCATATGCTGTCCACAGTGCTGCCAGGTTTTTCTTTCCAAATAGGGCAGTTATTTGCACAGTATGGTGTGTTGCAACCCTTGTAATTCACAGCTGCCACCTGCCCAGCAGTTCTGACCACGTCACCCCTCCCCGAGGTCTCAGTTTGTGGCCCCCAACATCCTGCTTTTTGCAGACCCCCAGGGCGTGGCACACACAGGTTTGGCTGCCAGGCCGAGTGGGCACGGCTCCAGTCCTCTGACC